ACAGAAAAGGTTGAAAACCACTGGACCAGGTGACCTCTTAAGTCCCTTTGCGCCCTACTTCTCTCTCTTTCTGTGACTCTTGGTTCCCCTCTGAAACACTTCTCTTAGCTGTTGTCTGTTCAGACTGTAAGCTCCTGGAGGCAGAGACTGTCTCTTGCTTTGTGTTTATGCAGTGCCTTCCACCCCTAGCTTGCCTGGGAGTTCTAGATGGGACTGAGATAGAAGTAATAACAGTTGCTTAGTTTAGCAAGGGCTTGGCAGAAATATTATGCCGGTTTGGCAAGAGGATCATGATTCTTTCCCTCCCATCTCAAATTTTCTCATCTGCTTGATACCCCTGTCATACCCTCCTCCTTTTCCATGACAGCAAAGCTGAAAAAATAACTGGGATTCATTGCTATTACCATGAAAACTCGCACTGCCACATTTGACTGTGCTGCATGGTCATGGCTTTGTGCAACAGAATGCAGTGTACCCACAGGCACCTCCCAGCAAGGGAAACCCCACTGAGTTTAGGAGGCCTGAGCCTGGCTTTGTGCCAGATTGACAGACAGACACAGTAGCTGTAGAAGCTCACAATTCATTCAGCTCATGATTTAAGCTACATTTGTGGCAACAGTGAAGTGAAACTTGAGAAACAAAAGGCAGCTGGTTGGATGGAACTGAAGAAAAAATTAAATAGAAAAAAGGAAGGCTTGAGATTCCAGCTGGCCTTCAAGGTAGGTAAAATGAATAAGATGACTGACTCGTACTAGGACTACCTACAAAGCAAGATTTTTCTTTGCATGTCATTTTTAGGTGTGCCTTTAGTAACTGTGGAATGGCAGAGGATACAGATTAGGTAAAACAGGGCTGTCCAGCTGGCTGTATCCGGCCCATGAAGGGTTGAAGTGCGACCTGCAGGTTCCCTTCAGGCTGCCACTCCTGCTATTGCCCCTGCTGCTGAGTCTCTAGGGCAAGGCAGTGCAACGTGGGAAGAGGGGGGCAGTAATCTGGCTGCCCACATCTTGGAGGGCACAGGCTTGAGCAGTGGGGGTGTGGGGGGAGAGGAGGAGAGCTCCCCCTTATAACGGCAGCAGTGATGGTAATTAAATATTGGAACAGCTTACCACGGGAGCCGGTGGACTCACCATTGCTTGGAGTCTTAAGACGGCCTTAGATATCATTCTAAAAGACATGCTCTAATCCA